TTAGCAAAATGTACTCAAAAAATGTACGCTTTTAAAAAATTTTAGTACATTTTAATATATATTTTTTGAGTACGTAAGTCTTTTTTTTTTTTTGGATAAAATCGTGGTTTATAACAGTAAGTTCAGACTTTTTTTTTTTTTTTGATAAAATCGTGGTTTATAACAGCGAGTTTAGAAGAAAATTTTTTTTTGAATAAAATCGTGGTTTATAACAGCGAGTTCAGAAGAAATTTTTTTTGGATAAAATCGTGGTTTATAACCACGATTTAGGGAAATGCCCCCTAAAAATCTTTTATTAATTTTGTATAAATTATAAAAAAATGATTATAAATTATAAAGTAACAACATTTGTAATCATTAAATAAATATAATTGATGTAAGTTGACTTAGGTAATTGATAAATTATAAATCTAAGTAATTTACATAAACTTATAAGTGTAAGTTGTTAATCTTGTTACTTTGAGTGTAAGTAAACTTATGAATGTAGGAAAATCCAACAACCTTATGAGGTAGGTAAACTTATGAGTGTAGGTAAACCTAACTTTACATCAAAGTAACAATATTTCTAATTTACCTAAATTTCACATCATGACATAAATTATGAGTGTAAGTTGTGACTTTATATAAATTATAAAGTGTTGGTAAACTTGATTTATACATAAAGAAAACTTATTTATACATATTCGTGACCACGCTTGTAAGTAAAATATGTAAAAACGTGTTTTCAAAACACATATTGAACAAAAATTCAAAACCAGCACTCACTCTTTTTTGTCACAGACACTGACACTCACTCTCTCTATCTCTCGCTCTGACACACACACCCACAACACTTACACTCACATGAAACATATATAATTTTTAATATATATAAATTTTATTTTGTAAAATTCAGACCAATATTAAATATATATAATAATAATTGATAATAGCAAATAATAATCAACTATATAAAATGATTATTTTTTTACTTTAATTCTTAAAATGTAATTTTTTGTTTTTGGTAAATTACGCTGACACCCCTGAGGTTTATATTTAAAAAAAAAATTTACATTTTAAGAATTAAAGTAAAAAAATAATCATTTTATATAGTTGATTATTATTTGCTATTATCAATTATTATTATATATATTTAATATTGGTCTGAATTTTATAAAATAAAATTTATATATATTAAAAATTATATATGTTTGATGTGAGTGTTGTGGGTGTGTGTGTTAGAGAGAGGGATAGAGAGAGTGCTTGTGAGTGTCTGTGACAAGCAAGAATGAGTGCTAGTTTTGAATTCTTTGTTGAATTTTTACATTTTGATTAGAAGTGATTATTATCCACGGGTCAACAGTAAAATCGTGGTTTGCAACCACGTTTTTTGAAGATAGAAAGAATTACTTAACAAAAGCATGGTTATGTATAAATCAAATTTTCTTAATCAGATTTACTTTAAAAAATAATTACTTCAAAATTTTTGTATAAATAAAATTTCCTTAAAAGCATGATTTGTAACCTAGACAGATATATTAATAATTTTGAATATGAAGACATTACGAAGATTCTTCTTTTATTTTTCTGTTCATATAATTTTATACTAAAATTTGTATGAAGTATTGTGTTTATTCAGTGCGATTGGACAAAACTGGACAAGTCATACAAAAATCTTAAATCATAGTGTAACTTTTTCTATGAAATTATTATTTTTTTCATTGAGTTTAAATAACTCGACTGATTTTGTATGACTTATACTTAATTTTAATTTCAAACATTGTTCACGTCATTTTTTGTAACTGGTGGTCAAATTAGTGAGATTTAATTTTTATTTCAAACATTGTTCACGTCATTTTTTATAACTGGTGATCCAATTAGTGAGATTTATGGACAATTAAAGAGAAGTTAATTTTATTTGCTCAAGCCTCTGCCAATAGGGACCTTAATGACAAAGTTATTTGGTAGGTTATTTCCTATGACATTATTCCCTAACTTAGGAAAATAACCTCATCCGAAATAACGTAGGAAATAACTTAGGGAAATAACGTACGAAATAACATAAATAAAAAATTAATAAGCTCTCATAATTTTAAGCAATATAAAAAACATAACAAAAAAATTATCGACCTGAATCGAGTCAAACTTGAGTTTCATTAATATTAAAGAGCTCTCATTATGTGTTAAAAATTAGGTATGCTCCTTTCAGATCTCAAGTTGAACTCTCAGTATGTGTCATGTTTATAGGTATTAATTGAGATTTGTCGGATCTACGCGGAAGGGACGTTTGGTGCGGGTTGTAAGATTAGTCGATAAATACGTAAACTATAGCGATCCCGGGTTTACCCTTGTTATACCGTGATCCGGACATCTGTCCGTGGATGTTGGTAGTTGTTTATTATTTTGTTTACATCCTTTTACTTCGTATTTGAGTTATAGGATGTGTTGGGCGGGTTTGTTACAGGTTGGTTGAGTTTACAAACCAAAACTAGTTGCCCAGATTTTGGCCTGTACGCTCGAGCGGAGGTGTTGGCGCTCGAGCGGAGATTACACCCATTCAGTATTTTCCTGTGCAGCGTTGTACGCTCGAGCGTGGTATTGGCCGCTCGAGCGGGGTTGTCTGAGTGCCGCTCGAGCGTAGGGTTGGGAGCTCGAGCGGAGGCCTGGTTCTGCAAAAGTGGGGCATGTGGCATCAATGGCATATTTTAAAGTTTTCTTTTATTTTTTATTTTTGGGTTAACATTCTAAGTAGTTAGATTTTTAATTTGTTAATAAAATTTTAGTGTACTACTTAAAGGGTCACCCATAGAAAATATTAAGCAGGCCTACAGCGACATAAAATTCAATTATCTGACTTTTCTATTTTGCCATATCCGTATCTCCAAAGTATATATATATATATATTTTTGTTCCTGGCCAAAATGATGAGAAGACTTCCATAGCAATTTCTTATCACAAATTTTGTTCCTTACTTTTCAATTTCTTATTCTTACTTAAAAAATTGAAAGTTAGAACAAAATTATTTTTGTTACTTTATTAATTTTAAGTTATTACTACTCCACATCACCTAATTAATAATAATTTTTACAGCCAAATTAACGTTTCTCTTTCTTATGTAATTATTATTATTATAGATAATTATCTATTCATTACGTAAAAATTATTTGTTCCTAAAAAAAATTATATAACATTATTTAAAAATTTTAACTTATCATAAATTTCTTAACCTCTAATTTCTGAAACCATAACCCTCATTTCTGATTTCACAATTTAAAACCGTTAATTGAAAAATGATTTCACATTCATCAATTCAAAACCCTAATTCAAAACGAAAACCCTCATTTCTGATTTCACATTCAATAGAAAACCATAACCCTCATTTTTTTATTTCAAACATAATATTTAAATTTTGCTAAACAGATGCAACATTCAACAGATTTCACATTGAACAGAAATCTGATTTCACATTCAATACAAATCTGATTTCACATTCAACAGATTTCACAATTATAAACAGATTTAAGATAAATATAAACCATTCAACATTCACATTCAACAGATTTCTAAACAGATTTCACAAATATAAACCCTAACCCTAACCCTAACCCTAATTTAAAATTTAAGATTTCACATTGAACAGATTATCCATAATTAAAATTCAACAAACACATTCAACAAATTCAACAACAAATTATCTATAGCAAAAGATTTCACATTCAACAGATTATCTATAATTAAAATTCAACAAATTATCTATAATTAAAATTCAACACATTCAACATTCACATTCAACAAATTATCTATACTTAAAATTTCACAAATATAAACCGTAACCCTAATTTATTATTTCTGATTTCACAACATTTTATTCACGAATATAAACCTTAACCCTAACCCCACATTCATGAACCCTAACCCTAATTTATTCACAAATATAAACCCTAACCCTAACCCCACATTCATGAACCCTAACCCTAATTTATTCACATTTTCACAAACACAAATATATTCACAAATATAAACTCTAATCCTAATTTATTCACAGTAAAGTAAATGATAGAAGCCATACCAACGAGAGAGAGAGACAGTACTGAATCAATCAGAGGGAGCTCCAGAGAGAGAGAGAGAGAGAACAGAGAGAAAAGAGCGAAAGAGAGACAGCAGTGGGGAGAGGAGAAAGCGTGAATGCAAAACACGGGGCTGGGGGGGTTTAAATAGAAGTTCTAAAATCGTGGTTGTGAACCACGATTTCACTTAAAGAAAAAAAATTTGCTCTAAACTCGTGGTTATGAACAGCGAGTTCAGAAGAAATCTATTTTTTGATGAACTCGTGTTTTGAAAAAGCGAGTTCAGTATGAAATCGTGCTTGTAAAAAGCGAGTTCAAAGGAAAAAAAATTAATTAAACTCTCGTTTCGTAACCGCGAGTTCTTAATCAAACTCGCTTTTGGTAACAGCGAGTTTCAATTTTGGCAGGTTTCAGGCGATAGGGGTGGAAAAGTGTTGAACTCGCGATTGTGAACTGCAAGTTAGCTCATTTTGGAAATTCTTTCAAAACTAGGTTTAGTTTGGGAATTCCTTTATTATTTTGGCTTATTTAGGGAAATACCCCATCTATTAATGTTTCCGGATAAATTTTGAGTATATTAGTAGAATTAATGATATGAGTAGTCAATTAATAAAGTATTTAGGCCTCATTTGGGAATAAGTTATTTTAGTAATTTTTTGATTTTTTAGTTAAAATATATAAGGTAAAAAAAATTAGTATATTTGAAATTATTTTTTAATTTTTTACGAAAAAATGTATAAAAAGTAAAAAAAAAAAGAAGTTTTAACTTTTTAAAATAAATTATAATTTGTTTATTTTTTTTAATAATTTTTTAACTTTCAAATTAAAACTATTAGATGCCAAACGATGCCCTATTCACCAAAATAAAGTAAAATAATATTACGCCAAACGATGCCTTATTCACCAAAATAAAGTAAAATAATATTAATAAAGTATTTAAGTAGTTTGGAAATTTGTATAACTCACCGATTCTCTCGCTCTGGTTAGATGACCGATTTTTTCGTTCATTCTTTCCTGCAATTCGGAGCCATACGTATGCCTACGCACTTCTCTCTCTCTCTCTCTCTCTCTCTCCCTTTTAATGGTGTCTGTTATTCGCAAAGAGATCTATCCGTCCCATTCTCAGAGGGTTCGATTGCGCACATTCAAACTTTTCTCTCTGTTTCGACATCTAGGGTAATTCTTCTATAACCCCCCCTCTATCCCTCATTTCAATTTCTTCTTTTTCTTATCCTAAATTAGTTTATATTTTTTTAGTACAAATTTAGTTAAAAACTTGATCTGTTATGGAACACTCCAACCTCTACTCTATATATATTTTTTTGATCGAATATTTTTGGAAAATTTAAAACTTATACTAAAACCTGTTTTAACGATTTTTATGAAAGAAAATGATCTCCAATCCTACTCTTTCTAAAATTTAATCAAATGTGATTAAAAATAAGACTGCTGGAAATTTGGTGTAGGATTTTAGTTCAACCTTGATTTGGTGAAAATTTGCCTCTCCCTTGATTTTGGTTAAAAGCTTATCTGTTAGAATACTCTAAATCTAATCCCCACCATTTTTTTTTTTTTCCATCAAATCTTCTGGAAAAATTTGAAACTTATCGTAAAAAATTGCTTTAAAATTTTTGATGGAAGAAAATCTCTCTTTTTAAAATTTCAACAAATTTGAGTAAAACTATGACGGTTAAAAATTCGAAGTAGGGTTTGGTTCAACCTTAATTTGGTGAAACTTTTGCCTGAAACTTGATTTGATATAAGTTTGATGAAATAATTAGAGTTCACTTTTAGCCCTTTATTCTTCAAATTTGAATTTTATGAAGTAATAGGTAAAGGATTGGAGATGCTCTTAGTTATACTTGATTTCTTACTTTTCGGTGACTTTAATTTCCAATAACCCACCCTGCTTAATTTCTCATGTACATACTTCATTTTGTTGCACAATGTGAACGTTTGGGAACAAATTTCAACAATCCTTTATGGGTTGATGACAAAACATTGGCGAATACAAGACAATTTTTTGAAATGGGGATTGCAGGGTGTCTGAAACTAAGGTTTTCCGGTGAAAATGCAGATGGGGCGGGTCAAGTTGAAGATAAAAAGGTTGGAGAGTAGTACCAACCGCCTTACGACCTATTCAAAAAGGAAGAATGGGCTCATCAAGAAAGCTAATGAATTATCAGTGTTGTGTGACATTGACATTGTCCTTCTCATGTTCTCACCCTCTGGCAGGCCTGTGATGTGGAAAGGAAGGAATAGGTGTGCTCATATTTTCATTTCCTTTACTTACTATGGTACTTTGAACTTGTGTTAGCAAACTCTAGCATTTACTCATAATTATCAATGTTAAGGCTTTGGTCATAGAGAAAGCATTAATCCTTTTTTGATTAACTGACACATTATGCTAGCGTGCAAATTGTTCAATTTTTTTCTCTTCCTCATGTCATGTGGCTGTTTTGAAATTCACAAAGGGTTGGTTTATCTTTTCTTTAAAAATTTATGCAAGATTTATTTTGTAAAATCCATGAATTTGAGAGACTAAATATAGGCATGAATTCATGACAAACTCTTAAGTTTCCACCATTAGCACTCATTTGTGGGATTGGCTACTTGATTTAAAATGATGGTGACCTATATAAAAACGTGGCACAAATTGATGCTTGAAGATCAAGTATAATATAGAAGGTGCTAGCTAGTGTGGCTAGTCTTGATATATGATAGACCTAGGGTCTAAACCCGCCTTCATCCAAGTTGGGTGTCATTGGGTGGAGATGAAAGTGTCATATTTAGTTCACTTAGGCAATAAAATACCAATTTTATCCCTAACATAAAATACCAAAGCCTAACCCACCCTAACATTAGCTACCAATTTTATCCCCATCCTTAACCTACCAAAGCCTAACCCACCCACCACCCTCACTTGCTCCAACTATTGTCTCCAGCCTCTCGCTACCACCCTTCAACCTCCCCATCTCCACCCAAACCCGTGCCACCTCTCGGGCCATCTTTACCACCCCCGCTACCTTTTACTGCCCCAATTCCTATAAATCCAATTAATATTAATTAAATCCATAATTTTCCTTTAATTAGAAATTTGTTTAATTTACATATGTGGAAGCAGTAGGAATATCCAATAATCAAAGATATTTATAATCAAAAGAAATCTCCTTTTCTCCTATTTCATTCCAGTGAAGTTAAGATTTTACAAAACTAAGATCACATGAACCACACATTCACAACTCTCTAGCTTGAATCTATAGCATGTCAGGAACTATTGAAACAATGTTAATCTATGAAGCATGGACACGGGCATAGACACGTGACATGACATGGACACGCAGACATGCGGGCACGCAGATTTTCAAAAAATAGGGGAAATGATATGCCGGGGACACGTTCAATATATATAATTACATTTATTTATTATATGTCGTAAAATTATAAAAAAATCATTGAAAGGTAATAAAAAAAATGCAAACTAACTCTATTAAAATTAAAAAAAAAAATCATTTCATTGATTTAACAAAACTAATAAAAAAAAGAAAAGAAAGAATATAATCAAATAACAGAGGCAGGAAGAGAGAAAAGAAAAAATAAAATAAAATTGGAAAAAAAATAGAAGAGAGAGAGAGGTATGTTACCATCAGCCTATAAAAGGGGAAAAAAAGAAAAAAAGAAAATAAGAGTTCAAGAGCAGAGTAGGAGAGAGAGAGAGAGAGAGAGAGAGAGAGAGAGAGAGAGAGAGAGAGAGAAGATTGGAGAAGAAGAAGAAGATCGGAGCAGAAGAAGAAGAAGAAGAAGAAGAAGAAGATGATCGAAGAAGAAGAATGAAGAAGAAGATCGAAGTTGTACCTTGGATAACAGCAAGAGTAGCGAGCAGTGACCACCGACGAGTGATAAGCGATGAGCGACGATTGACCAACGAAAAGCGACCAGGTGTCCCCGACGAGCCTTTCTCTCACTCTCTTTTGTTCTCTCTGTTCGATTCTAGGTTACGAATTAATCTGTTTTTGTTTTTTACAAATTGACCCCCACAAAAGTTTCATAAATTATGAATTTCACCCCGCGGTGTCCCGAACGTGTCCATTACGTGTCCATATGCAAAAAATAAAAAAGAAAAAGCTGGACACTTTCTGCTGTGTGTTGGACACGTGTCCACCATATGTTCGACTGACAGGTATCCGACGTGTGTCCGTGTCCGACACTGATACGCAGCCCTTGGAGAGGTCTCCGTGCTTCATAGATGTTAACAAACAACTAAAATGCCCTATAGGCTTACATATTCCAAGGTTGAAACCTTGCTACAAAAAGAGGGGTTTCGACCCATACAATTTAGCTCAAAAGCTTTACAAAAATATAACAACAAAAGTAAAGAGCCTTCTTGCTCCAAAATGCCAATCACAAGCCTTCAACAAGGCGGAGGGATCTCACCAGTACCTGAAAAATATTTTCCACAAAGGGATGAGCACTAATGCCCAGTAGAAACAATATTACTAATGTATATGAGATTGACATGTGTATGATCATGAATGCAAATGATGTTATTTCATGCTCAAAAAGTTTTACAATCCATGAATGCAACAATGCAAGTCTCTCAATGAATTCCAAGTTTCATCAATTTCAAATAAGCCAATTATTAAACAATAAATAATACATGGGAAATCCCTAGGTATGTGTACAAATAGTCTAATCAGAACTACCAAAAATCCATGTTTTCTGGCTATTAACCAGAAGGGCAATTGGACTCTTGACTCTGTGCTAGATTCCGGACTTTCGCCAAGGACCTCAAGCCAACTTAATTTAATTTTCAAACTTTTCTACACATCCCAGATTTAACCACATTGTTTACTTTAATAATTCAACAAGATTTCAAAGGGTATTCAAACGGTCTTAATGTCAATTTTCTCAAAACATTCCATGATATTCATAAATGAAAGAATGATTATGACTATGCAATGCATGGATTGAAAACGGCTTCAATTTTCCCTAATTCCAATTCATTTGTACAACACAACAATGCAATCCATGTTATAGTTACTAGGTGATAGAGGGGCCTTGTCTCTTCCTTTTTTATGAAATAATATGATACCTGAATTTCGAGTTTCTTCTCTGTTTGTGTGTTCTGGCACTTTAAGACTTCTGGATTTTTCAATTTCTTCTGTACTTTCCATGTTTTACATAAAATATTTCAAAGGTTTATGCATAATCTGAGAGACATTTAACTCAGTTTTGAATATTCAATTAGGAAGTAGAAGTATTCTAATTGCGGAACATGCTTAATGGCAACACTGTCATTTGTAGAGTCAACATTTCAAGTTTCATCAAGGAAAAGAGATTTAAGCCACAACAAATTGATTGTAATGAAGCATATATAAGTATATATATAGATGTATGTCTTTTCATTGTAGTGCTGTTCAATGAAGGGGCAAATAGGAATAAGAACGCATATTGCAGCTTGATCTAATTATGCTTATGATTGTCATGTTGTGGGTAGCCCAAGTGATAGTAATGTTTACATAGGAAGGTCTTACAAACTAGAGCACGTGAATGTTCTACATCTTCTAAAAAATAAAGATTGACTTGATTGTCATACTCTTGTATGTAATGATTACATGTTAAGTCATTTATAGATGACATTATAGTCATTGACCTTTGTAACAAGGGTACAAAGCTGTCACATCTCCCAAAACATTTTATACATTATTATTTTTTTTCTTAAATTTCTAGATAAGTTTCAAAATGAAGGGAGGAGGGCAAAATGAGAAATCTGCAATGTCGTTATTGTAAGACATCTTTATACTATTATTATCGTTATTATTGCTACTACTGCTGCTGGCAGAGCTAATACGATTGTCTATAATATTAAGCCTTTTTCCCCTCCTTTTGTTCAGTATCATTGAAGGAATTATTGAAAGATTTGCCGAATTAACTCCACAGGAAAGGGCAAAAAGGTAATACCAATATTTTTTCTCATGGAAAACCGGTTATTTTCATCTAGTTCTGGGTTTAATATGATCGGAGTTGGAATTGAATTGTTCTTTACTGGATTGGAACAGGAAGTTGGAGAGCTTTGATGTAAGCTTCTTTTGACAATCCCATTCTTCTCCAATAATCATTTAATTGTTCTATTTTATGTGTTATTATTACCATTAGTCCTTTACAATTATTATTATTATTATTATTATTTTTTTGTCTTTTTTAAATTTCATCTGAGACTCTAGGCTTTGAAAAGATCCTATAGGAAGTCAGATCATATTGTAAATGTACAAGATTTCTTCGGTTCAAGGTATGTGGCTTAGTAGTTTTAGTTGGTAGATTGTTGTCTCCTTACTAACACATATGACATTGACTATATTTTCCTGATATAAACTATTCTTGCTTTTTTTGTTGTTGTTGTTGCAGTTATGAAAAAATTGGGGTATGTGTCCAAAACCAGTTAATTGAATCGTTTTTTTAGAAACTAATTATATTATGAGTTGTTCATATTAACACTAGTGACATGTTTTGAATTTTCTAATTTGCTTATGGTAGGATTTGACTATTCAAGCAAATTTATTGCGAACTCAACTTTCAGAAATTCAGAAGAGACTGAGGTGAGCTTTTCAAATCTTTGGTTAGAGATGCATTTTTGGTTTTTATGGACCCTTGAAAATGCATTTTGTATGCTGGCCATTGTGTTATTGAGTGAGAGTCCTTTGTTATATTTATATCAAGTTGTTGTATTTAGCTTCTTTTGTTTTTTCTTCTTATATTTTTCTACTCTGTTACTTGTTAAGTTAGGATTTGAACACGATTTATAGATATTTCTCAGTAGAATTAAAGTTGAAGAGGAAAAAATTTATTTGAAATTAGTTGCTTTAGTCATTTTTGTACAATTTACGGCTTCTAAAATCAAGCCATGGATTTGTACTAGATTTACTTAAATCTGGACCTTTCGTGATAACCTAATCACTGACCAAATGTATATATTTTTACCCCCAAAGTTTTTGAAATGCTATCAATTTGCCTGTCGTCTATTTCCGTCAAGTAATTGGACGGAATGGGTGACGTGGCCAGTCGACTGTGGATGACCAGGTGGTCGACTGGTTGGGAGTTTTGCCTAGTACTGCAGAAACAGAGAGCTTGTGTTTTGTTCACTCAACACAAAATGCTTGACACAAAACAATAGTTCACCAAATGCAAATGTTCATGTCCAAATCAAATTTTTCATTAATAATAGTTCACACATTACATGTCATTCATAAACAGGTTACATATTCCATTCATTCTTACATTGCCATACATTACATTAGAAACCACATTCCTACAACCAACCAACCATGACAGAACCAAGCAAATCCATAACTTTCTCTCTTCCAATTCTCTTCAGTTGTGCTTCTATCTTATTCAACTTGTTCAACAGACCAGGAATGATCTGCCCTGCCCGATCGCACAGGAGTGGGTCTACCCAGGTGAAGTGATTGCAAGTATTGTTAGGGCAACTAAAAAATCTCCTTCCAGGATTTGCAGCTGTCCATGATGTGTGTATCAGACCACCCATGTGTGATTGCGTAGTGCAGATCATTCCTGGCATGTTGAAGAAGTTGACTAAGTTGGAAGCACAGTTGAAGAGAAGGATTGGAAGAGAGGGAAGGTAATGTATTTTCTTGGTTTTGTCATGGTGGATTGTAAGAATGTTGTTTCAGATGTAACCAAAAAAAAAAAAAGAAAGAAAGATTGTAGGAATGTGGTTTCTAATGTAAAGTTACGGAGTATTTACTGATGTATGGTAATGTAAGAATGAATGGACTGTGTAACCTATTTATGAATGATATGTAATGGGTGAACTATTATTAATGAAAAAAAATTTGATTTGGAGATGAACATTGTGTTTGGTGAACTATTATTTTGTGTTAAGCATTTTGTGTTGGGTGAACAAAACACAAGCTCTCTGTTTCTGCCAAACAACTCCCAACCGGTCGACCACCCGATGATCCTCCCGGTCGACCGGCCACGTCACCCATTCCGTCCACTTACTTCATGGAAATAGATGTTAGGGGGCAAATTGATAGGATTTCAAAGACTTTGGGGGTAAAATTGAAATTATTCAAAGTCTGGGGGTGTAATTGATCATTGAGGCAAAGTTTGGGGGGTAAAATGAAATTTTCTCAAGATCTTTTGGGTTTAATAGTTTCATGCATAGTGAAAACTTGTACAAACATGGATTGAAGTTTTGAGTAAAGAGATCTTGTTTTGGATCCAAGGATGTGGCTCTACACTGAATGGACTATAAAAGATGATTTGTGTAGCCATTCTCAAGTAGTAGGGAACTTTGGGTTTGTGGAGTTGTTTGAGAACCCCATTAGGTGGTTTAAGTAAGAAAATTTTTAAGTGGATTTTTTATTGAGTGCATTTGATAACACAGGATCAATATCAATTAAGATCCTACTTTTGGGTTTTACTGAAGTTACATTTTATATATTGCATTTTTGTCGTACTTTTCTTATGTCCTCTTGATTCCAGAGCTTCTCTTTATACCTCTAATTTACTATTTAATTTTGTTTACAAAGCATCAATTAAAACAGCATAATCAACAACTAGCATATACATTATGGTACACCGCATTCTGCATGTGTCTAATCAGTTCATCCATAACTAACATAAAAATATGAGGGCTTAACATTAATCCTAATGCAAACCAATCACTTAGAAGTCACTAATTTCTCCTACTATTACTTCCTAAAAATGTTCGATACTTGATGTTAATTTTGAGAAGTATCAGATTCTTTTTGGACACTATGCGTCTAAACTATAATGAAATTGAAATTATAATAATTTTTACATAGTATTAGAGTATAGTTGTTAGAATAAATACAAAAATAAATTTTTCAATATTTTCTTTTTTAGTGAGATTAAAGTAGTACCTTACCTTTTCAGATTTTATCCATTAGTGTCAGATTTTTGCTGCAGCACAAAACTTTCTTCCAAAAAGAGCTCCAGTGGAGTTGTTAAAAAAGGTGTCGGTGTAAGTTCTTAAGTCAGATGCTAACTGTGAAGAGTGAGTTAGAAAAAAGAAAGAAGAGAAAGAAAGAGATGGAGACAGGGTGGGTTGGTTCTGCCACTGGCAGGAAGAGAGAGAGAGAGAAAGAGAGAGAGGCGGGGTGCTGACACATCATTTTGTTTATTTATTTATTTACTTTCTTTTGGAAGGCTGCATTTTAGCCAAAAGGCCACTACAAAAAAATCAACTCTACTCTATTTTTTTGCATGTCTTTTGTAAAAAGTCAAAAAGATACTAAAAAGCCAATTCCCAAAACAATCCTAAGTCCCGCTTCTATCACTTTTTATCACATAACATACTAACACAATTTTAACATCTGCATTGGAGATCATTTAATTCCTAAATAATGGTTTGTCAGTATTCTTGAAGGTCATGTAATATAACACAAAATTATTTAAAAACAAAAGTTCAAAATATCCTAGCCGTTCTTGTATCTTATTTTTGAAGATTTTTCTGTATTGCCATATTTGTATCATATGTATTTGTATCCAAATCCGTGCTTCACAGCCTACAATTGTTTTATTGTATTTGTTGCTCCATCATGCATGTCATATTGTTATGTACCATTTCAATATATCCATTGTGATTTCTTTCTTTTTTAAAGCACAACATATTGTAACACCCTAAAAATATAAACACCCGAACTAATCAACATGCTCTTCAATTGACATTCATTCCTCAACTACACATGCAGAAGCTATAATTAGTCTCATTCATTCAATATATATATAGATAAAGCATGCTAAACTCGAAATCATTTCCATACACCTTAAATCATAAATCCAAGCATGCAAACATTTCATTGAGAACTAAGCTATTACAAGTTTATGCCTAATGGCTACAAGTTTTCGGGTCTTAACTGATCACATCAAAAGTGGGTCCTACGCCTAATACATCCAAGCCTTTGGCTATACACAAAAGCAAAATAAAGAGAACGAACCTTAAGCTCCAAGATCCTCCCAAGTCAATCACCTTGGCAGAGACATGCTGTCAACACCTGAAAGTTGTTTCTAGTAAGAGTTGAGCAAAAAGCCCAGTAGAGATATACTTAATGACATGTATGATGTTTAACGGTATCATGCGGTGAATGCATGTGAAATGTCATGATAAAATATGGGTTTTCTTTTGAGAGATCATGCCATGCAACGGTTCCAAAATCAAAGTTCAAAAGCTTTTTAAAAGTAGAAACCATGGCAGTAAATACGACATTGGTAATCCCTAGGCTAGTGTTTGCAAGTAGTCTCGAGGAGCACTACCAATCGACTTTACCGGCACCTAACCGGAAGGAACTTGGAACCTACATTGCACGTGTTTTCAGACTTTCACCATGGATCTAAAGCCAAATTAACTGTAACAAGACCCCTTAACCGGATTCACCACGGTATTTACCCATTTTTTTCAAAATAATGCGAAGTGTTCTCAACACAACATTTCAAGATACAAAATTATGATAATTACAAATCCGTGATATGTACAATGAGATGCATGATTTGTAAACATTTTAAAAGCCCAACCTACATGCAATTTCTATCACACGACAATGCTAGCCTCCACGGATAGCCAAAATAGTTATCTTTAATACGGTAATTAAAGAATAACAACAATAGAATAAATCCATGTGCCAACAACAATTTGAAATCTCCATGATTTCCTAGTATCTTAACAATTCATAATATTCAATATTCACCACTTCTCAAGAGTTTCATAATTCTCAATATTTCCAATTCAATTTCCAAAAATTCCAACACATCCTAGTTTATGAAAAATTGAGGTTTCTTTCTCAAAATACAATTTCTTTCCAAAAACCAAGTCATATAGTAACTGTTGAATATAGAAATTAGAATACATAAAATCTCTTTATTTGTCGTATTATGTATATAATATGTGATTGTGTCAATCACTGATTTAGTATTGTTTCCTTATTTATATCGTTTCCTAAATTGTATCGTGAATCTATTATATATACATGGCCTCTACCTCATTCATGGGTAAGCCACATTATTCTTTTCATCCTTTTTGGCCAACCACTGTCTCATCTTCTTCCTTCCTTCTTGAGTGCCGATAGTCCCCTTCCAGCCCTTTATTTCACCTGACAACCCCACCCAACCAGCCTAGACCCCCCAAAACCACCTACCCAACCCTCTACACCCCTCGGCAAGCTGCCCCAGTGTTGCCAAGGGTCTTGTTGGCTACCGACCAGGGTGTTTCCTGGCCATAGATACTTTGGCAGCTCTTCTAAGGCAATTCAGTCCCAATTTTTTCCCTTTCTAGGGTGGTGCTGATTTATTAAGCACTTTTTAGCTTTTATTTATTTATTTATTTTGTGGACTACCAGATTTGTCCGGTAGCATTTATTTGGACTAGCCGTTGAGTTTTTTCTGGCTTCTTGTATTTTTTTGAATTGTGTTGTTGTAATTTTGTGTTTTCTAGCCCTTATTAATCCACAATGACTGACCTATCCCATGTTGATTCCAATATGCCTACCAAATTTGTACCAGTGACTTCTCATTTTTCTCTTTCTCATCACACTCATGTTCATCGCATTACGAATGT